AGGGGTTAGAGGGGGTAGGGAGAATTCATAGCCTATGAGAAGAGAAAAAAAGGCATTCAAGGAAGATTTTGTGTGTGTGTGTATGTATATATATATATATATATATATATATATATATATATATATATATATATATATATATATATATATATATATATATATATATATATATATCGATTAAAATGTATATTTATAACGCTCTCTACCTATTCACTGTACCTACCAATATATCAATATCAACCTCTCCCAGAAAAAATAAAAAGGAATACACTGTTACTAAAAAAAGCTTCTTTTAAGTATTGTATTCCACCTAGATAGCGAGGCACATCCTGTCACTCACTCCAAAGTTCGAAGCTAAATTACTGCTGGAGTTTGCCCTTTCCACTTCACCTCAGAAAGGGAGGGATGAACGGAAGCATTGAGACGGTGTAGATAAAATGTGAGATTAAAATTTTCAATTTTGATGACCAGAGAAAGGTCGAGCAATTGAGAATTGCAGTTGAAAGCACGAAAATAAATGCATTTTCTCGTTCTTAAATGTTGTCTTAGATACCTGGTTTATATATATATATATATATATATATATATATATATATATATATATATATATATATATATATATATATATATAATATATGCTGGAAGCAGTCTTTTCTGTAGACATATATTATTGAATGTGACAGAAAGGTTGAGATAATTTATTCTAGCATGAATCTTCTCTATCTTCCTTGCATTTTTCTTCACTTAAGAAGGAAGGTGAAAAATTAACTCTCCATGGTTCATTTTTACAATTTTACTTGTCCCTGATGCTAAGAGGTGCGTTTCCTTAACTCGTGTAAACATTGTCAAAGGCAGAGTACGAATGATTACGAATTTTCTGTCTGACATGTACGCGAAGATGAGGTGAAGAACCTCAATTATTGATCCATTGTAACTTGTCAATCTCTTGTTTGCATGATGGTTGGTGCATTATGTTTGTTGAGTCGTGTTTTGCAAGATAGCAGAGTGTAATTTGGTTCTGGTTGGCTATTGATGCTTGATTTGGTTTGCTTGTTGTGTAGTGCCTCACTGATGTCGAGTCTACTGTTCTCGCTGTATCTGTCGATTATTTTCGTACCTCGGACGCAGGTTCGAATCCTCGTCACGGCCCTTGTGGATTTGTTCATTCAACTTCTGTTGTTTGAGAGTCTTTTCCGACTATCCCGACCTTTCGTAGTCGGGATATCTTTGGTGATGGCTTTGTTATGTGTAGAGATTATATGTTCCTTAATAGGTCCTTGTTGCTTGTGCATTGTTAGGCGTCTTGAAGGGGATGTTGTTGTCTTGCCTTTATATTGAATTCGTTGGAGCTGACAGTCTTCAAGAGTGAATGTTTAGACGATATTCGTTTCTTTCAAGGGTGGAAGAAGTTGCCCAACCACTTGGAGTGGACGATAGAGCGACGGTCTCGCTTCATGCAGGTCGACGTTCAATCCCCGACCGTCCATAAGTGGTTGGGTACCATTTCTTTCTCCCGTCCCATCCCAAATCCTTATCCTGACTCCTTCCCAGTGCTAAATAGTCGTAATGGTTTGACGCTTTCCCCCTGATAATTCCCTTCCCCTGACACCAAACACAACCAAACTCAACAAACTATTTATGTTGCTCAAATTGAGCAATAACTGTAGTAAATGGACTAACAATGAGTTTAAAATTCTCAATAGTCAGAAAATATGGAATTTGCAAGGGAAGTAAGGGGTAATTAAATTAAAAAAAAAGTTTTGCGCTTAAAATGCCAAGAAGAGATTATGAGATTATGGAAACCAGCGAAGTTGAGTGTAATCCTAAAATGGGGTTTTCCAATTATATCAAAGTTTGGGAGAAAACTTAGCCACTGAAGTTAAGTTCGCTACAATTAACTGATAATAAGGAATAAGTTAGCAACATTCCCATCAATTGCTTCGTATGAGTCTTCACTTGGGAAGAGCAAGACGATATATATACATCCAAGGACAGACGCTGTTTAGGTAAAGGATTTTGGAAAGGATTTTTAGCTTCCAGCAACAGTCTGTTGGACCAAGTTATCACAATTCAAGTCAAGCCGGGCTTGGGGAGTAGAAGAACTCCCGGAATTATCTCCAGGTAAACTCCAGGTGACTCTCAAACAACAGAAGTTGAATGAACAAATCCACAAGGGCCGTGACGAGGATTCGAACCTGCGTCCGAGAGCATCCCAGACGCTGCCTTAACAGAAGAAGTTGAAGTTTGTGAACAAATTAGAAAAAATGTAAAAAAAAATCCGTGCCCCGATAAGGTGTTTATTCAGCACCTTTTCTTGATTTAGACTTGGTTAAAAGGCAGCAATTTTGCCTAACCAGAAAACTACGAGCCCAAACAGCTCCTCTAATCCTAATGTACTGAGAACGATGGACAGAAAACGTCAATATTGCAGTATTTCGGGGCTTGACGTCCCCGCGGCCCGGTCCTCGACTAGGCCTCCTTTTTTGTTACCCCCAGGAAGCAGCCCGAAGCACCTGTCTAACTCTAAGGTACCTATTTACTGCTAGGTGAACAGTGCCATCAGGGTGAAAGTATGAGATGAAGAGGGAAGATTTCCAGTCAACAAATACATCCAAAATCAACGGTACAACAACCATTGTACCACCATAACCACCACTACTTCCCCCCCTACCACAAACACACCCACCACACAACCACCCCCCTTTTTCCTTTCGTAGAAACCGTCGCCTTTTTCCATTAACCAAACAACACAGAACTCTAAAATGAACCTAGAAAGCTGATTGAAATTCAGCCTACTTCCTTCAGCATCCTCCCCCCCCCCCCCCACCCCTCTGCTAGGAGCTTAGGAGAGAGGGGACTAGGGGGGGTGGTGGAGAAAGGGGGTGAAAGGGGGTGGGAGGGGGAGAAGGGGTTGAACTAGGAGAGACTTTCAAGCCATCTTGGAAATTGCGGGCAATTGTTCGCTTCTTGAGTTATTGGACTTAGAATTGGTTACCAAAGTTTACAAATCCAAAACATTTCATGGCCTCTCTCAAGCCCAGTCTTCGGACCAAGTTTTGGGTCTCGCGGACAAAACTTCGAAACCGGAATGGAATCCCAAGCGAACGGCAGTAGGGAGAGGAAACAGGTCGAGTGGAATGGAAGGAGAGAGAGGGAGAGAGAGAGAAAAATGGTGGATAGAGACAGAGGAAGAGGATAGGAGACAAAGGAAATAGATAAGGAGGGGGAAGAGCAGGATATAGTGGGAAAAATAAGGGACAGAAAAATAGAAAAAATAATAGGTAGGCTAAGAAAAAGGGAGAGAGAGAGAAAGGAAAGGTGAAGAGTTAGTGGGTGCTATACCGAATGGGACTGAGCGGAGAAGAAATGGGATGGAAAATAATCGGTAAAAAGAGTGAAGTGGAAATAGGAAGTAAATTGGTTGAGTGGGTTGGAAGCGGGAAAGGAGATAAGAGAGAGAGTGAAGAGAGAGAGAGAGAGAGAGAGAGAGAGAGAGAGCAGGGGAGACATGTGAAATGTAAGATTGGATAAGAGTTAATAAAAGAGAGAGAGGAGATTTGGGAGAGTGAAAATAAGAGTGAAAATTAATAGAGAAAAGAAAGTAACTTGAGAAAATAAGTGAGAATGTTGATGAAAGTAGAAATAGAAGGAAGGTGTAAAATTAGAATAAGAAGGGAAATAGGTAAAAATTAATAATTTTGAATCTCGGGATTTATTCCCGCGCGGTATGGAAATGGTTGGGCACGGTTTCTTTCACCTAATACATCTGTTCACCAAGCAGTGAATATAGGCACCCGGAAGTTATACAACTGTTGTAAGGATTGACTCCTGGGAAAGGTCAGCTGTTTGACCTTGGGGGAGGGGGACCTTCGATATAGGCCTATATTATATATATATATATATATATATATATATATTTATATATATATATATATGCGAACAAGCCTGAATGGTCCCCAGGACTATATGCGAATGAAAACTCACACCCCAGAAGTGACTCGAACCCATACTCCCAGAAGCAACGCAACTGGTAACTACAGGGCGCCTTAATCCGCTTGACCATCACGGCCGTCAAAAGGAAGTGATAGCCGAGGCTATTTGAGCCACTTCCCCGACGGCAACTCGGATGGTAATCTTGTATGAGGTGAGGTGGTGAAATGCTATGCCCAAGATTACCATCCGAGTTGCCGTCGGGGAAGTGGCTCAAATAGCCTCGGCTATCACTTCCTTTTGACGGCCGTGATGGTCAAGCGGATTAAGGCGCCCTGTAGTTACCAGTTGCGTTGCTTCTGGGAGTATGGGTTCGAGTCACTTCTGGGGTGTGAGTTTTCATTCATATATATATATATATATATATATATATATATATATATATATATATATATATATATATATATATATATATATATATATATATATATATATATTATATAATAAATATAAATAAATATATATATATATATAAATAAATATAAATAAATATGTATATATATAAATAAAAAAAAAATATATATATGCCCAAGCTTCCTGTTACCGACATAACTAGATAGAACTAGGAGAAAGAGCCAAGCCTTTACGACTATATAGAACTTGGAAGGGATGAGGATAAGGGTTTGTGATGGGACGAGGGAAGGAATGGTGCCAAATCACTTGGACGATCGGGAATTGAACGCCGACCTGCATGAAGCGGGACCGTCCGGTCCACGTGCCAGCATTTCCAAACTTTTCACTGTTTATGAATGAGTTGTGAACGTGTTATATTCTCTCCCAAATGCAAATGTGAGTTGTTTTAGATAATTTATTAAAAAAAAACGTGAGAAATAGTCAATCTTGAATCGAATAAATCTTATCTTCTTTTGGGGGTTTGGGAGGATAAGGAGACTTGCCACCCGATGTGGATTGATTGTTAAGGGATTAGAAGGGTTAAAAGATTGATTGTTAGGGGTGGCAAGTGTTAAAGTTTGGTTGTTAGAGGTTGCCAAGAGATGAAAATTGATCGTTTAAGGTACTCGATCGGCTGAACCATCGGTTGAACCATCGGTTGAACCATCGGTTGAACCATCGGTTGAACCATCGGTTGAACCATCGGTTGAACCATCGGTTGAAGGTTTAGCGTTTAAAAGAACCACGAGGTTCTCCTGGTCAGGGAACTACCCTATTTACTCTTGTATATAATTACCTTAGCAGGGGAAGCAAGTTCTAAAAGATTCCTCTCAAGCAGCACTTAAGTGTCTAAGTTACGAAACCTGTTCATCTTTCATCCATCAAGACGGTTTAGGTTCCACTTATAAATTGGTTTATGAGCTCCAAGGGGCTACGAGGTTATTTAAAATAATAATAATCACTCTGCCTCGAGAAGTTTCCATTCTCATAAATTGTTTAATAAGGAAGGAAGAGAGCTTTTATAAGTAAATATAAATTTAGCGCCAGGGAACGTCCACAGCAAACTCTAACTTCCTCTCGATTTATATAAAGGTGACGTCTGTCCACTTGCACTGGCTGGTATAGGGAAGATTTATTTTTATACGGACGACGTTCGATCTTCTCTGGTCCGAGTAATTGGCTAACGTTCCTTCATTCGTTGATCATATCCCAGCTCCGTGTCCTCATATCCCAGCCTCGTGTCCTCATATCCCAGCTTCGTGTCGTCATATCCCAGTTCCTTGTCCTCATATCCCAGCTTCGTGTCCTCATATCCCAGCCTCGTGTCCTCATATCCCAGCTTCGTGTCGTCATATCCCAGCTTCGTGTCCTCATATCCCAGCTTCGTGTCCTCATATCCCAGCTTAGTGTCCTCATATCCCAGCTGAGTGTCCTCATATCCCAGCTTCGTGTCCTCATATCCCAGCTTCGTGTCCTCATATCCCAGCTTCGTGTCCTCATATCCCAGCTTCGTGTCCTCATATCCCAGCTCAGTGTCCTCATATCCCAGCTTCGTGTCCTCATATCCCAGCTCAGTGTCCTCATATCCCAGCTCAGTGTCCTCATATCCCAGCTCAGTGTCCTCATATCCCAGCTTCGTGTCCTCATATCCGTTTCAAGTGTTATGTAGTTACAGTGCCTCAACACTTTCTCCTCATGAGTAATTTTTAACTATCTTCGAGGTAATGGCGTATTTAAAATATTTTTCCATCACATTTTCGTACCTCAATCAACCAGTTATTTCCGTATAAACCAGAGCAAGACAGACGCTGAGGATTCCCTCGGAAACAAAAGCAATAGCTGTTGACCAAACCACACATTAGAAAGTGAAGGGACGACGACGTTTCGGTCCGTCCTGGACCATTCTGGACCGAAATGTCGTCGTCCCTTCACTTTTTAGGGTGTGGTTTGGTCAACATATTTCAGCCACGTTATTGTGACTCCTCGTCTGCAAAAGCAATAGATCTTCATCCATGTGTTAATGAACAAATATAAGAAAAGGAAATAGAGACACTCTTCCCGGCATTTCATCAAGAGCGATTAAAATCAAATCTCTTTGGCTTCCTCTGTTCTTTTTTTTAATTTCTATCCCTCGACGGTCGGCTCTTGGGCTCATCCCTGTGAGGAAGAATAAGAAGAGAGTGGCTGAAGCAGACGAGGGAAAAGTTTAATGTGTTTCGCGATATAAATCTTTCCTTGCGGGAGTCATCGCTTATATCTATCCAGTCACGCCGTGAGGGTTATTATGATGTTTTGTGTGTGTGTGAGTGCGTGTGTGTGTGTGCGTGTGTGTGTGTTTGTGTGTGTTTGTGTGTGTGTACTCACCTATTTGAATAAGGAAAATGAATGAAAAATTTGAATTTGTGTGTGTGTGTGTGTGTGTGTGTGTGTGTGTGTGTGTGTGTGTGTGTGTGTGTGTGTGTGTGTTGTGTGCGCACACACTTCGAATATAATCTTTGTTTATCATTTGGTGGAATTTCTTGATCCCAGAAACTCATGAACCTTTTGTTTATTAACCTTCCCTGCCTCACTCTAATCTTCCCTGCCTCACTCTAATCTTCCCTGCCTCACTCTAATCTTCCCTGCCTCACTATAATCTTCCCTCCCTTCCCTGCTTCTAGGTAGGACAGTGCCTACGTTTATAGTTCACAATTCAGTTTTCCGGATTCGATCTTTGAGAGGTACAGAAAAAGTTAGGCACGTTTCCTTTCATCTCATTCACCTCTTCACTTAGCAGTAAATAGGTACCCAGACGGTAGACAACTGGACATCTGTTGTGCGAGTTGTAACTTTGGGAGTGTCAGTAGTTTGACCTTTAGGGTGACCTCGGTACGAGTCTAAAGTATGTAAAGTATAAATTCAGGCTTTCTGTCCCCAACAAAACGAATTACTAGATCTCTCTCTCTCTCTCTCTCTCTCTCTCTCTCTCTCTCTTACTGACTTCTTTGAATTACAAGGGAATTATGGTTATATTCCAATCGTGGTTGCTTTTATTATCTCTTTCCTAAAATATCTCTTTAATTATCATTTCTCTTTGAGTTTGTTTCCAATAATAAAAGCAAGGATTAATTGCTAAAATTGCTGCTTATTCTTGGATTTTGTTGGGTAGAAGAAATTCTTTGAGTTTCGTTAATTTTTCCCCAATAATATTTCTCATATATCTCCCTTTATAGCAGGTTGTTTGATTCTTTCTCGTATGATCATTAAAGGCAAAACGTAACTTTGTAGTCTAATAGAGAATTTCTGCTGATGAAATTTATTAAATTTTCCGAATGCTGTATCATTTTGTTCAAAATATTATACTATGAATATATTATTTATGTTCATATTAGAACATGAACAGTAATAAAAAAATAAGGTACTTTTATTATTTTCCTGAAGTCTAGTGGTGTACTCTCTCGACTCGCAGTCAATGATTCCAGGTTCGATCCCAGGTCGGGACAAAAAACGGTTGGGTACGTTTCCTCTCATAAGAACGTAGCATTAAGAATTAACAACACTACACAAGGCCTTTTGGTCAATACGAGATAGCTCGTATCCACCCAAATTCATTCAGATATGTATATCCTGCGCTTGAAACAATTATGCAATCCCACAATTGTTGTGTTACCCGGCTGCCTGCTCACATATAAACACACACATTCAAACATAAACACACATGCCTGCCTACATAGACAAACAAGCAGCGCACCTGATGCTTGTGTTGACCCAGGAGCAAGGCAACTGTTGTGATCAGCATCCTGGGTAAGAGTTGGCCTGGGGGAGCTCTCTATAATATAAACTACACGCTTTCTGCCCCCAGTAACGGAAATTAAGTAGATTCGTCTAGCAAAAACCACCATGCAATCGCAATATACTTTAAATTATACAAACGTCAGTAGCATATTGTATCGAGGTTAAGCCACATCACAGAACAAATCCACAAGGGCCGTGACGAGGATTCGAACCTGCGTCTGTGATGTGTAGCCACATCATAGGTTACAATGTGGGTTTGTTAGGGATATGGATATACCGTAGAGAGCAAATTAGTTTTTATTCATTACACACAAAAATCACAATAGCGTGTTGACCAGACCACACACTAGAAGGGACGACGACGTTTCGGCCCGACCTGGACCATTCTCAATCGACTTGAGAATGGTCCAGGACGGACTGAAACGTCGTCGTCCCTTCACCTTCTAGTGTGTGGTCTCGTCAACATAATTTAGCCACGTTATTGTGACTCATCGCCTGCATCACAATAACTTGATATATCAAATGAACAAAACCACAAGGGCCGTATTCGAACCCTCTTCACGGGCCTTGTGGATTTGATCAGTTTTTATTCATATTCAGAATTGAGGGAGGGAATTATCAGGAGAAGCACCAAGCCATTACGACTATATAGCACTGGGAAAGGGATCAGGATAAGGATTTGGGATGGGACGGGGGTAAAAATGAATGCTGCTCAACCACTTGGACGGTCGAGGATTGAACGCCAACCTGCTTGAAGCGAGACCGTCGCTCTACCGTCCAGCCCAAGTGGTTGGGCAATTCAGAATTGAATGAATCCATTTTAGTACCTCTTTCGTTATTGATAGGAAGTCCGTGCGTGTGCCAGGTACGGTCGATAAATAACGGTATAATTTCTGGGTTCTGGATGATGATGATGAGGCTGTTATATCAGGCCTGAATCTAACAGGCCCATTTGCATCTGCTAATAATGGCGCTGTGAGAGTTACCGGGAGAGGGTTAATGGTGCCTCAGTGTAGTAGGGATCCATATTAGTCTGGTTCGGAGTATATGACCTCACTAACTGCTGTACAGTTTGAGAATTCTGAAGACATGGGGGCCAGATTCACGAAGCAGTTACGCAAGTGCTTACGAACGTGTACATCTTTTCTCAATCTTTGGCGGTTTTGTTTACATTTATTAAACAGTTTACAAGCATAAAAACTTGCCAATCAACTGTTGTTATTGTTATAAACAGCCTCCTGGTGCTTTGGAGCTCATTAACTGTTTAATAATTGAAAACAAAGCCGCCAAAGATTGGAAAAAGATGTACAGGTTCGTAAGTACTTGCGTAACTGCTTCGTGAATCAGACCCCTGATTCACGAAGCACTTACGCAAGCACTTATGAACCTGTACATCTTTTCTCAATCATTGGCGGCTTTTTTTTACAACTATTAGATAGTTGAAGAGCTGCGACGCACCAGGAGGCTGTTTATAACAATAACAACAGTTGATTGGGAAGTTTTCATGCTTGTAAACTGTTTAATAAATGTAACCAAAGCCGTCAAAGATGGAAGAAAGATGTACACGTTCTTAAGTACTTGCGTAAGTACTTGCGCATCACGCTATTGTGATTTCTGGGATGGAAGAAAGATGTACACGTTCTTAAGTACTTGCGTAAGTACTTGCGCATCACGCTATTGTGATTTCTTTGTGTTCCCCGTGAACGCTTCCACCAGAAGTTAGGTGTAGTTGTGAACAATAAATAATCAGGACGTGTCTATACTCCTGCCAACCCTCTACGTAATCAAAACAAATAATTTATGATTTTACAATGTAAAACAATGCAGGCGATGAGTCACAATAACGTGGCTGAAGTATGTTGACCAGACCCCACACTAGAAGGTGAAGGGACGACGACGTTTCGGTCCGTCCTGGACCATTCTCAAGTCGATTGTGTGTAAAACAATGTTATTTTTACGTTGAATGGTGTCTTCGTCCATT